TTGGTGAAATAAATGTATTTTTTGTAGAATGTTACAGGGGGGAAAAGAGAGCCATGAAGTTCGCTTTCCCAAGAATTTGGCGGGAACCCACTGACCACTCAAACAACTGCTACTTCTGCATGGCGGACCCTTCCAAACGTCGGACTGGCAAGAATGCATCTGCTCTCACGTATCCGGACCGTCCTTCATCCATCGCCCCGGTGCCACACTGCCATGAGCTCCCCATACCCACTCCTCCGGGGAGAGAGCAGCCTTCTTTAGAAGAGAGCAGCAAGTCGGAGAACGAGGAAGACATTGTAAATCCAGATGACAATTTCAGAGGTGGAGCTGAGGAAAGAAACCCATACTACCCCAACCAAAAAGACCTCAACGACTTGATCATAGATCTTGGTCTCACCAAGTCCAATACCGAGTTTTTGACATATAGGCTCAAGTAGTGGAACTTGTTTGATGAAAGTGTGCAAGTCGCAGATCAGAGGAAGCGTCACCAATATTTTTGCAGCTTCTTCAGCTGTCAAGATGGGCTCTGCTTCTTCCACAATGTGACCAGTCTGTTCGAGGCAATCGGAATCGCCTGTAACCAGAATGAGTGGTGCCTCTTCATTGACAGCTCATCCAGGAGCCTCAAAGCCGTGCTGCTGCATAATGGTAACAAGTACCCGTCTCTTCCCCTGGCTCACTCGGTGCACCTCAGACGATTACAACAGCATCAAGGCCTTGCTGGATGCCTTGAAGTATGATGAATACGGCTGGTAGGTCATTGGATAATTCAAAATGGTGGCATTCCTGATGGGTCTCCGAAGCATTTTTACCAAGTTTCCCTGCTATCTTTGGGACAGCAGGGACACCAAGGCGCACTACCAGAGGCGGGACTGGCCACAGCGGACCGAGTTCTCTGTGGGGAGGAACAAAGTCAAGTGGGAGCCACTGGTGGACCCCCAGAAAGTGCTGATGCCACCACTGCACATCAAATTGGGCCTTATTAAACAGTTTGTCAGAGCTGTAGATAAGGAGTCGGCAGCCTTCAAGTACCTTCAAGACTTATTCCCAAAGCTGTCTGAGGAAAAGGTCAAAGCCGGTGTCTTCGCCGAAACACAGATAAAGAAGATCCTGGAGTGCAATGAATTCCCCAAGAAGCTCACTAGTAAGGAGAAAGTGGCTTGGGACAGCTTTGTCGCAGTGGTTCGTGGCTTACTGGGCAATCACAAGGTTGAAAACTATGTAGAGCTGTATTCTTGGTTCTTTCGGTAAAGTCACGTAGAAGGGAAACAATAAAATAATAAAAATATAAAACAATAAAATTATCACGACGTTTCGACTGCAACACAAGCAATCATCATCAGGTGTGAAAACCACAGCAAGAAAATTTGAAAAAAATGGCGTTTTTTTAACGTTAGCACCATGGAGAGCGATTTGGCAATTATTCAGATGGACGAGTCCATCTATGTTTGGAAAAGAGGAGGGAGGAGACGAAAAATAATGGATGCGGTCTGAAAGCCACCATAAGCGTGAACAATCAATTAAGACCCGAAATGGTTTATCAAATCCTTCCAATGATTGCTAAGCATCTTTTCCGAACATAGATGGACTCGTCCATCTGAAAAACTGCCAAATCGCTCTCCGTGGTGCTAATGTTAAAAAACGTCACTTTTTTCATTTTTTTTTGCTGTGGTTTTCACACCTGATGATGATTGCTTGTGTTGCAATCGAAACGTCGTGAGAATTTTATTGTTTTATATTTTTATTATTTTGTTTCCCTTCTTTTTAAATCAAAATTTGTGGAGCTGGTTGAGACTCTGGTGAAGAACTACGGCACAATGGGCTGTAGGATGTCCCTCAAAGTCCATATCCTTGATGCTCATCTTCATAAATTCAAGGAGAACATGGGAGCGTACTCAGAGGAGGAAGGCGAGTGCTTCCACCTGGATATACTGGACTTTGAACGCCGCTATCATGGACAGTATAACGAGAACATGATGTGAAGCTTTCGTGACTACAGGAATCCATACTCTTTGGTTCTTACGAAACATCGTGAGCTATATTTTGATTTAAAGCTTTCGTGACTGCAGTAATTCATATTCTTTTTATTATTTTGTTGTTTCCCTTCAACGTGACTTTACCGAAAGAACTAAGAATATCGTGAGCTATGATTATTTTTCTACTTTACCGAAAGAACCAAGGAGTAGAGAACATTATGGGAGACTACATTTGGGGGCTGATTCGTGAAAGTGTTTTACAGTATAATCGTAAATCTAGAAAAACTACTCACTTCTAAATCTTTTATAGTCATTTTTGTATTACTTTAGTATAAATACAAGTACATTTTTATTAATATGTTTTTTTCTGACTTTTACGTGAATGAAAAGACACAAATTCGCCCATTTTATCATTCAAAATAAGTAAATTTCAAAATATCACTATCCTGGTCACAAAAGCAAAGTTTGTGGGGAATAATAGCCATTTTCTATGCTTTTTACGCATAAGCAATTACAAAATAACGCTTACTACCCAGGAACAAAAATTGTGTTACATAGTGTTACCACTGCTTTTTACTTTCCGCAATAATAATTTCAGCCTGTAACACGCTGCACAGTCACGCGGAGGCGCGAGGAACCACAGACAAGTGGGACGACATCCAGGTGATGAGCTGGCGCCAACAAGTGCCCAAGCTTTGTGGTCCTCTATATATTCAGATATTTTCAGCCGATTAACGAGTACTTACATGTGGGAAGAAACCGGAGCACCTGGGAAAAACCCACGTGTGTGAAAGGGTTGACACTCCATCCCACACAGATGGAACAGGTGGAGTGCACATTTGATCAGTACTGCCTTCTCCCGGAAAGCCAGGGTATGGTGTGCCTCAATGCCCGTGGGGACAACATTTGCGTGATCCACCAGCCCTTGTCTCCAGAGTTCTGGATTACAGGTGTGCGCCACCGCCGCCCGGCAGTGTGGGACTGATTTTATGGATTCCATATGGGATCGAGGTGGAATCGTGATAACACCCGTGCTTCACAGCAAGAAGGGCCTACGTTCGATTCCCGACTCAAGACACCTTTCTGTATGGCGTTTGCATGTTGAACTTCTTTCGCGGCATATCAAACAAACCGTGCGTATTCGAGGTGTAAGTTCTCCCCTTTTTCTCTCTGCCTTCTTCTAAACGAGCTTCCTCCGGGTTCTCCAGTTTCCTCCCCATAGCTAACAAAAAAGACCATTCAATGAAACTGGTATTGCAAAAAAACATCCCATTGTTGAAATATTATCCACTCAACTGGTATTACACATCGCAACATCACCACCTACTTCAACACCTGGCACGACTCTCCTGAAGAAGAGGCTCGAAACTCAGTGAGGCTTTCCTGGGTAAACAACCGTTATAACAATAATGATTGACTGATGCGAGCGATGACTGCAGATCAAACACCCAACTTGCTGATTGTGAGGCAAAGTAAAAAAAAATGAATACTTTGGCAGGGGGATTGGTGGATCACACAGCAAATATCAAATGCCTGAACCGTTTTTTTTAAGGCATGCTTGAAATATTCGCAACCCTTGGGAGCAAAGCCAGGTGTGCCTATATCCAACATGTGCTTGTATCAGAAGTTACCCTTGCTTCCCCCCCCCCCCCCCTCAACAGTGCAATGTAACCATGTGTTGCTTGTATTAGAACTGTGTATAAGGTGGTCTTATACCTGTAATCAACTGCATATTGCTTTTGGCAGCAAGGTGGGTTATTTACGTGGGAGTTTTCAATGAGAAATGATAAAGTTGGTGTCAAATAGCACAGAAACTGTGCCCCATCATAGTTGCACGAAATACAGACGGAAAATTGTATTTCCATCCGGCCAGGTGGCTCAGCAGGAGAGCAAGTGGCTCACAATTTGAAGGCTGCAAGATCAAAATCCTTGCCGGGGTTTGACTCATCATACCACCATGCCTCCTCAGTCGATGACATGCACACCGCTTTGTTGAGGAAGGCAACGGCGGTTGTGAAATGGACGGACTCGCCCCTGTCATAAGGAATGTGGATTTTCCACCGCCGGCTCAGGGCTGTAATCTCGGAGATGAGCAACCGGCCTCCACGCTCATTTGAGCAAGAAATCTTTTTGACTTTTTGTCGGGACTTTCCAGTAAGGTCGAAATAGGTTGAGGTGTGTGGGTGGCTCAGAAGTCAGTGCCGAGTCCACACTGCTGGGATGGTTGTGAGTTGACATTGATTTAACACTTGATTTGATTAAATTCCAGCTCTGAAAATTAATAATATCCATTTGTCTGTGATGTGACAAATATTCTCACTGCAGAGTATATGGGAAAGTGCTGCCCCTACGATGTAAAGGATAAAAAGGCCAATTGAAGGAATTTAAGAAGACCGTTAGGCTTGCCGCTCAGTGAGTTTCCAAATGTATTTATCATCGCATAACACAACACCCATAGCACAACTCGAATAAATGATTGTGGGTAAACAAAAACACCAAATTCAAACGAGGTGTACAATTTTTATTTAATTTAACCTTTGTAACGGGCAGTTATTTTCAAAGGTGCAGAATGATTCGGAGGTACAGGAGATCACAGACAATCGGCGAAGCAGCCAGAACCGGTGGCAGCATTTCCCAAGCTCTGTGGTCCTCCATCGGGATGGTTGGGCAACCTCATTAATGAGTACCTATGCGTGCATTTGGAAAGCGATGAAAACCCACATATGCAAGGGGGTGTTGCGGGGGAAGGGGGGGGGGGCAGGGAGGGTGGCACTCAATCCCTGTACACAAAGAAAACGGGCAGGGAAATTAATCCACTTGGTGACCACAACGCCCACGATTGTGTGTGACCCACCAACCCTCGCCTTCACAGTTTGTCGTCCTTCCACCCGGCACCTCCAATTAGCGCGGTCGGCTATGTACGGTGCAAAAGAAGTTCAACATACATACACACATACACACACACTGTGCCAGATTAGCGGTGGGCAGAGCAACCAGACCCGATGGCCTCAATCAGGGTCTGACCTTGGCCTTCTCGAGCTGGGCTAGCGCCTGCTTCTCGGCCTCGCGTTTCAGGTGTTCTCGCTCCTCTTCCAGGGAGTTGTCGGAATCGGATGGCCGGCTATTGTAAGAATCTGCTGAACCCTGCACACAACGACACATGCAAACGCGCACACACAAGCGTGGGCATTAATACAAAGCACGTGCATTGCAAAGGCACAAGAGTGCACGCACATTACAGGCAAGGTGGGTGACACATATTCTTCTACGTGACTTTACCGAAAGAACCAAGAATATGAATCCCTGCAGTCACGATAGCTTTAAATCAAAATTTAAGGTGTGTGATGTTTGTGCACAGCCGTTGTGTCAATCCAGCACTGGATGAGGGTGTCCCCGTGCCGTGCAGGTCATGGGGGGGGGGGGGTTATTCGATCATACTTCACTACACTGGTCAGAGCGGCTTGGTAAAGGCGGAGAGCATAGATGTGGGATCATAGAAGTACAGCAGAACAATTTAATTTGCTGCACTATTCCTCTGCTGCCCACCACACCGCCCCAAAGTCCTATGACAACCTGTTTGTGCATGGTGGTGACCCATGCAAGCACTAACCAGGCTCCAAATCCTGGTTAGTTTCTGAGAATTGAAATCATTGGGTGCTTTTTTTTGGGTGATTTGGTCATAGACTTGTCTAATACAAGGGGATAATGACACACATATGAGCACGGACAATAAAATAAAAACATCCCCTGTGTAACCTTAGCAGACTGTAGGGGAAACTGCTGTTAGCGAGCACCTATGAAGGCCGGCACGGCACACAAGGGGGTGGGTGGCCAACACAATGGCCTAGCGCCTTTGTCTCCCCAGTGGCGATATGTACACACCGCACCAGGTACTCATTTGAGGATAAGTCGACCTAGGGGAGGTCCAGAACAAGTGCAGGATCTCCGAGTTCGTAGCGCAGTGCGCTAATCGCTATACCACTGCCAGTGACACAAAGCGGCACATATGCACGTGCGTAAATACACTCACAGGGGCAGCACCGCATTCGGCCACTGAAGTTAACACACTGCACCTGATACTCGGCTGTGGTTGAGTCAACCTAACGGAGGCCTACGATGGGCCCAAAGACGACTTGTATCAGTGATCGTATACATGGTTGGAAAATCAAACCCAGATCACAACTTTCGTGCTAACCACTCTGCCACTGATGCCCATCACACAACAACGTGCACAATAGAGGCCAACATTGACACACAAATGCACACGCAACGCAATGTTACATGACAAAAAAGCATACAGTATCTCAGAACCAGAATATTTATTTGTACTGGAGAAATCCGATGAGCAATAAATCTATTTTGCACAAATGTTCAGTCGGGGCAGGGCAATTAACCAACAATGGTCAATGGATTGCAGTATCCAGCGTGCTAACAATTACACCGAGGCAGCATCCCTCCCACAAAATTGTATCAATTTTATCTACCCACGTTTTGAGATGGGCTGAGATAAAATATAAATTAGGTCAGCATTGAGGTATAATGCGGTGGCCACATAAGTATGGAGGACTGGTGGCAAAAAGCGGTGAGCACACTGCACTATAAAACCTGCCTGAGTTTGATTCCCAGCCACGGCCAAAATCAGTGCTGAGTGACATCTGAACTGGTCCTGGCTAACCCACGCCACCGCTGGTTAATTTTCTTAGTGCAAAACATTTCCTCATAAATCTACACTGACCTGGGTGGTGAAGTATGGTCAGTAATCTCCCATGATCTACACAGCTTTTGGAAGTCGTGATCCAGTCGTGGACTTACAAAGAGCTGTAAGTGACAATTGTTATTAACACGAGTGTATATTATGAAGGAAGTCCAATGTGCAAGTTGGCATTGCCCAATGGTGTCATATACTGCACTGGTCTTTGAATGATTAATGCTATATCGAGCGGTAGGCAGGTCCATCACTTTGATGCGTTAAAATCAAAGGTGCTCATTGTTGTAGAATTCTCTTTGAGGTTGCAAACACAGAACTGATTGTGAAATAAGTTAATGAGTAATCATAAATAATAATATTCTGCATGAGTTTACTCATGGAAATCTTCATAGAGTCTCAAGATTCCTTCTTTGGAGTGTCCACTTCCAGTGGGCTATTTTGAGTGGCAAGGCACCAGCGTGCACAGAGAAAGCCATGATTACAAGAAGACAATGTTCAAAAGTTCCTTAGACATTAATAACCAAATGCATGTACTCCCGACTATAGCTGCACCTAAATTGTGCTGCAGTTGTGTGTGGGATATACACACACAGCGGGATGATTAGTCGACTGAATGTTGTAGTCGACTACTTTTTTGTGCTCAATTACTCTGGCCCCCTCCAAATGAAGGCTGCCCCCACATCCTATCGAAGGCAGGAAACCCCCTGCAAGCCACACCCAGTGCAACGCAGCTGATGGTAATGCTGATATCGATAAGCCCCGCCCATCACTTCCCCATAAATCGTCACGCTTTTTTTCCCAAACAGTCGAGTAATTTAACCAATAATCGGACAGCCCAGCTCTAACCTGAATTTCAAGTTTCTGGCCATAATTGATTCGTTTATATGGCTCCGCTATAAACTATGCACGAGCTCCCCTCTCAAATCAAGGATACCATCAGTTCAAAATCGCTATGCTGTGTCCGACAGAGTATGTACGTCCAATAACCTGCTCATCCAAACCAGAACCAGCCCCGTCCTGGCTGAGCGGCGTTTTTCCGTAGCTGCACTGGCAGCCGTCTGGAACCTTCTCCCACTGCACACACGCAGCAGTAGCAGCATCCAAGTACCATCCACCTTAAAACAGCAGCAGCTCAAGGCTCTCACCCTATCCAGGCTCTCACCCTATCCAGGCTCTCACCCTGTCCTGGCCCTCACCCACGTCCTGGCTCTCACCCTGTCCACGCTCTCAATCCTGTACAGGCTCTCACCCGATCCGTCTCTCACCCGATCAGACTCTCAACCAACCAGTTTCTCACCCGTCCAGACACTCACCCGATCAGACCCTCACCCGATCAGTTTCTCACCAGTTCAGGCTTTCACCCGTCCAGACTCTCACCCGATCGGACTCTCACCCGTTTAGACTCTCACTCGTTTAGACTCTCACCCGATCAGACTCTCACCCGTCCAGGCTCTCCCCCGTCCAGACTCTCACTCGATCAGACTCTCACCCGATCAGACCCTCACTTGATCAGGCCCTCCCCCGTTTAGACTCTCACTCGATCTGACTCTCACTCGATCAGACTCTCACCCGTCCAGACTCTCACTCGATCAGACTCTCACCCGATCAGACTCTCACCCGACCAGACTCTCACTCGATAAGACTTTCACCCGTCCAGACTCTCACTCGATCAGACTCTCACCCGATCAGGCCCTCCCCCGTCCAGACTCTCATCCGATCAGACTCTCACCCGATCAGACTCTCACCCGTCCAGACTCTCACTCGATCAGACTCTCACCCGATCACACTCTCACTCGATCAGACTCTCACCCGATCAGGCCCTCCCCCGTCCAGACTCTCACCCGATCAGACTCTCAGCCGATCAGACTCTCACTCGATCAGACTCTCATCCGATCAGACACTCACCCGTACAGGCTCTCACCCGATCAGACTCTCACTCGATCAGACTCTCACCCGATCAGACGCTCACCCGATCAGACGCTCACCCGATCAGACTCTCACTCGATCAGACTCTCACCCGATCAGGCCCTCCCCCGTCCAGACTCTCATCCGATCAGACTCTCACCCTATCAGACTCTCACCCATTCAAGACTATTGAGCTTTGGCTCCTGCCTCAGTTGATCCGATTTGTGTAATATACGCACAATATTTTTTTGTCAAATCAGTCAAAATAAAAAAAAAAACTTTAAAGTGCCTGCCTGCTCAAACAAGCCCTGAGCCAGAGGAATAAATCCCACATTCCCAAGTGGGACAACCATTGCCGACTTCCCACCAATAGGTACTGATTTTAACCACCTGGGGGTAAGCGCGGTAGAAAATGGAGTGAGTTAACACTCGCCATCATTGGAAATCGTGACCCCACTGATTATGAGTCAGGTGCCCTAACAACAGTGCCACAATGGAAGCGTACATTACAGCATTAACCTGCATGGCACGATAGCTGCACGCTTGGTAGATCCCAGCTTGAATTGGACATACTTGGAAATTTAAATAGGACAGGCCCAAAACAAAGATGGGAGGCGAGAATGTTTTTTTTTTGTTTTCAAATGCATTTTTCCAGCAGTAACTCTACAAATCTATCTCAGCCTCAACAATTGCCCTATATTAGTTTGCCCAATCGATAATATGCATAGATCTAATACAATTGCCAAATGTACCCCCCCCCCCCCTCCACTACATCGCGTATCCTCACATGACTGCATATCAGCTGTTATGCCTCAGCCCTCTAAATCCATGCAACCAAAAATCATCACGGAATCCCGAAGGATGCAGTAACATGCCTTGTAATTGGCAGCTTGGTGGTTTCCGAGTGGGTGGCAAGTAACAGTGGCTTGAAGTGGAAAGTTGACATCAATTGTGTTTCGTGTATTTGGTATTTGCTATTTACATAATCTGCCCAAAGGTGGTGATATTGTTGTCTGGCTCTACTCAATTTGGTAAATAGGTCGTTTGCAGGTATTGCTTTTTAATAATGTCACGGGATAGTTAACGTCCACTGTGATGCGGACAGCACACATTTTTTTAGCGAATACGCCTGCAGTATTAACTTGCCTGCAGTATTAACCAGGGTGGTGACCTTGTTAGAACCGTGAACCTGTGCCAAGTGTCACCGCCTTTCGGTTAGCCTGAAAGGTTAAACAGGACCTGTTTACAGTCGGGTCAACGATAACCAGGTTCAGGATCGAAGTGTAATGCACTAAACGCTCTGCCACCCTGGTAACAGAAAATAGTTTGTTTTTACATTAATACAGCCATGCCTAGAATGATCAAATTCATGTTGATTTATTCAGAGGCCAGCTTGCCAAATTGCGAATCGTATATTTGTATATATTTATATTTTTATACCTTGGGTTGTACAAGTTAAAACATTTCGATTTAAAGTTTTCGTGACTGCAGGGATTCAACTTCTTGGTTCTTTCGGTAAAGTCACGTAGAG